TTGATCTATTCATTTGCTCAGTAGATATTTTACTGAATGACATCATAGGCATGGGAACATGGCTTTGATAAGAATTCAAATGTGGGGGTTCTTCAAATGTTTTTCATAAAAGCATAATTAATTAAGTGTACTTAATTAACTTTGAGTGCCTCCTGTCCTTAGAAAACATTAAGGAGAGGACAGATGTCATCTAGTACATTTATTTTCACGCTGAACTAAGAAACCACAATACATCTGACAATTTAATATATTCACTCTCTACAACCACAATAAAAAGTCCTCACACATGAAATCCTTTTAGCACATTATCTAATGTAATAAAGGCATTATCTAAATTTAATAAGCTTTTTTCTTGCCATTGTCCTGGGAAAACATCCAAGAATAAGGACATTTTTAATGATTTCTAGCAAGCCTATGGCCAACCCTGAATATCATCAGGTCAGAAATCAACTGGCCCTCATCTAAATGTTAATAGCTTAAAAACTAATCAGTTGGAAAAACAGTATTTCCACTGGAAAACTTTGCCAGCAAAAGTACACGTATATATGAAGCAAACAAAATAAAGGTTGTCTTTTCCATTTTAATTTTTTAAAAATCATATCTTGAATATCTTGCAAATTGTGTTTTAAATGTATTTTATTAAAGTCTACTGAACATGTTAAATGGATTTTAGACTTTAAAAATTAATTTATTAAATTTCATTATCATTATTAAAATTTCAAAAACCTGTCACAGTTGATGTCCACCTACCTTTGCCTTGCCCAGTCTGTGCCACTCAGGTGTGAGATAGAATTTGATACCGTCCACCGACCCAGGTAACGTCACTCCACGGATGAGGAGGATGAAGAGGACAACATACGGGAACAGAGCCGTGAAATAGGCAACCTGAAATTTGATGAAAAGATGTAAGTTCATGTGCCTAGTCAAAGATTAAATATGAAAAATAAAAAAAAAAAATCTGGGAAAAGTTACTGAAGTACTCAGTCTTGAGGGCAAGGTGGTTGAAGGGGGGTTCAAATCTAGTGCTTTTGTGTCTGGAAATAATGACTGTTCAAAGTTAAAATCAGTTCTTTTTTATATGCTGTAATGAAAAGCATGTCTATCACAAAAATAACACCCCATCCCCCCATTAAATTGTTGGCTTCAGGCCTGGTACTGTAAACTTAATACTGCAAATGCAGTCTTGTTCACAGTGACAACTTGGTAGTGATCGAGTGCCAGTCGTTTCACTTTTCCTACTTATGAACTCTTATTAGTGTTTCAATAATTTCTTCATCTGAAGAATAACAGTCAGATATAAGCATCATATGCAGGAAGTACTTGAAAGTACCCAAGGTACAAGGCAGTTAAGACTTGAATTCATTCACTGACCTATCTGTACTGTAAGATGCTTCCACACAGATGCTGAACCAATCCTTGACTCTACAGTTCAGTGGAAGCAGTTTACAGTGCAGAAAGGTCAGTCACTTTAGTTTGCAGAAGGTGTACTCAAGGTTAAGAAAGTGACTTACACAGCACTCCTTCCCACCTCTTCCACCATGCAAAGAATGCTATTTAACACCTTCTCATCTCCCTCTCAACACAGTAGTAAAAAGTACTCCTCTCTTACTCCACCTACCTACTGTATTTACTGCAGATTGTGTATTAAAATAATAACCTTACTGGTACAAGCACAAAGAGTACAAAGGCGATGACAAAACAAACTCATGTATTTTATAAAGTGCAAATAACCACGAATAAGAACACTTTCAGTGTTTTGGAGTCAGCCTTGAATATCATCACCACAGAAAACTATTGCTCATCATCTAAATATAAATAGATTGAAATCAATTTGGTTGGAAAATATAATCCCACAGAAGAACACTGCTTTCAATTAAGTAAACACATGAAACTAACCTAATACTTACAGAAAATTCATCATAAAAATATGGATAAGGAACCTTTTTACATTATGAATCTTTTAAATGTTCAAAAGCATTTTTGTATTAAAACACAAGAACAGTTGTATATAAAATATCTACAGCTGTTGCATGGGTTGTCTTCAGTCCTACCTTTCCAAAGGACTGCACACCTCTTGAGAGACAGGCAAACACAATGAGCCAGGCAAGGAGCAGGCACAGTAGTAGTTGCCACTTCACTGGGCCAACGTTATCTATGCCATCACTCAGCTCTAATACATAGTTCCTGAAAGCATGGTGAAAATACATACATCAAATTGAAAACCAACTATTAAAAGTTTGCACAGCTTAGAATATGATGGCATGATCATAACTAAAATAAGACATGTTTATGATTGGCCAATTTATTATGCATGTAATTTTTCTCCTCTTAAACAAGAAACAATTTATTATGTCATCGTACTTTACTCCTGATTAGATTTTTATTCAACAATTCAATTTTCACTGCAATTGAAACAAAGAGCGCNATATTAAAGTAAAATATGCAAAACTGGATAAGCAGTGGTATTTTAGCTAGGCATTTAACAAATTAAAAATAATAATTAAAAATGAAGCTGCATGCAATATTAAAAAAATAAACTGTACATGTAATTTCTTTTACTTATTCATAATGTTTAATTAGGTAAATCAAGTCAAATGTAATATACAAACTTTTAAGTTAAAACTTGAATGAGGCAAGGATCAATTTAATACTGAGAACACTTAACATGTAGGAGTGTCACAGACTGAAATGGTTGATATATATTATATTGCCACATGTTTATAGTTACTAATAATATAAGTTTTAAGTTATATATATATATGTATAACTAGATATATATTTGTATAGAATGAATGCTATTAAACTGCAAACTAAGATCCTGTAAGACTGTGAAAAGACAAGAGCAGATCTAAAATTGTCAGCAAGTGCCAGGTGAAAATATCCCCATCATACCCAGAACATATAGCCAAAATAACCTCAAAAGTGAAAAACAACAAATAAATTAAAATGTCAAAAAAAAACTAGTGCAAGAAATATCTTCTCCATCTGCATGGTATCACACCAGTGTCCATTTCAGGAAGAAGTGAAGAAAAAGTTATGGGTCAGATTAAGTTTCACGGACATGTTGGGTTTGGCTTCCATTTCATAAACAAGGCAAAAACTCAAGAACTACGCAAATGTCTTTGGTGCAAACACCTGCAAAACAATGATAAAAATCACACATCATAAGATACAACTACAGCAGTGGAAGCTGCTACAGCCAGCAATGACAATATAACAAGCCCAATCCCAAGTATTGTACACCCCTGTGTAGATGGACTAGATGGTCCTGGACGAGGACCAGGGTCTAAGGACAGTTTCACAAAAGACTTCAAAAGACCAAAATCAACTTCAAGACCAAAATAATTAGTCTACTTTGACCTGAGATATATAAGTAGAGGCCATCAAGATGAAATACTGTACATGTTTTAAAGCAAGAAATAATTGGCTTCCAGATTTACCTCAAGTCATAGTGAACTAAAATCTCGACCTTAAAATTCAGAGAAAATTTCCATTTTAAGTTATTTTGTGAACTGGCCACGGGGTAAGGTCATATTAATGACAGTGGATAGAGACAGAGAATAGTTGAGACTGCTGGTTTGGGGGGGGGGAGGGGGGGCATAGAAGAATGTAAAGAGCTAGGTGAAAATATTGAGAAATTGCCTCATGCTCATGACCTTTCAGGCTTCCAAGTCACACGTGCAGCTTATAGCAGCTGGCATGTCAGGCATGTTCTTCTACCAGTTACATGGCATTAAGACAGAACATCTGTTACGTATTTTGATACAGTATAGAAGGATTGTGAAAATTAAATTTACAATAACCCAATGCAGACCTATGTCCTTAATTCAACAAAGTTCTGCAGTACACATTAAGCAGTGCATTTCTACAAATATTAGCATCTATCAGGTCCACCTTGTAAAATAAACATGCATCCCCCTTGGACACAGAAAGAGGAACCTAAGCAATCTAATACCACTTCTATAGAATTTGGACGGTAGTCAACACAAACTAGGTATCCAAATCTGATTGTGTAACAGAGAACAGAGTACAAGAGTCAAAATCCACAGAATAAACAAGCTCTTCAGTGCACAGTTAGGGTCAACAACCTGGGGATACTGTAATACACTTACCATCATTGAGGACATAATGTATGGCTATTAGGTCCTATTTATTACAGAATCAGCATCTAATCCAGTTATAAATCAGCCTCCTTCTGCCACATAACTATGTACTTCAACCCTCCCTATGACCCCAAAATACCATTCGCTACCATAGATTTTTGAATAAATAACTGATGATTTTTTTTATCTCCCCAAGAATGACCAGGATTATATTAATGTCCCATTAGCTGTATCAGTTGTTCACAATACTACTGCATTATTGTTAAATAGCTATAATGCATTCTTAATTGATGTGAAATGCTAAGAGCAGCTACCAATTAAGTCCAAATTGCATAGTGTTACAATTAAACTTATGTCTACTTGTGTTATTAACAGTGGATACAAGATATATGTTATACTAATATGATAGGTTGATTGAAATTTTGGTCAAATCTTGGTTTACTTGAAGGCCACTGCAAATGATGGCAAATTTGATTGTGGGCCTATGATTGTCAACATGATCAAGCATGATACAGGTTGGGTCTTGTCATGACTATGTATACCGGCTTGAAAAGTAGGAAATTATAGGTGCATATTATAATTGTTTATCAGTAACTCCTAAATATAGAGTTTCAGAAAAAACACACAAGTAAACCAATAAATATTTTTCTCCTGTTATAGTTAGAGTGCATTATATGATAATAATGATGTTGTGCTTATATACATATCTGCATACAAATTATCTGCTACCTGACCCTACCAAGTGTACATCAATAAATATATATATTTATATATGAATATATAGTACCATGCAGCATATCACCCCTGGTGCAATTCACTGCAAAGTTAGCAGCCTGGTCGCAAACTAACATGTGACATCTGCCAAGCATAGTCACGCACGCACGTCGTGTCACCTACCTTGGTAGTCATGGGCAGGCCGACTATAGTGCCAAATATGGCAAAGCCTAACACCACCGCCCACTTCCGCCTGCGCCATTGAGGGAACAGATCCGTAATTCCAGTGATGCAAGTCTCGCTGATGGCAAACTGATGGGGGAAAAATATGAAATGGTGCAGAATTAAAACAGTGTCAGTGTCTCCTTATTTAGGGCCCATACAGGGGTCACACACCTACCCTAGTGCACATAGGCATCCCTCCAACAAGGCCAATTAAAGCCCAGGCTAATACTACGAAAACTTTCCGCTTTCTCCACTGTGGAAAGAGGTCGAGGAAAGAAGTGGTCACGGTTTCGCTGGTTGCAAACTAGAATGTAAATAAGACATCTAGCATAGTACTGGTTGCCGCACACAACAACCTAATAAGCAGTTAAAAAACAGCCACAAGCTATGAAAAGAACTAAGCACTGAACACAAGCACAACTACCACATTTTCATATTTAAGACTATATTCCCACAGATTTTAGATCGATGTATCCCTGTGGGGAGTCTCACTAGGTTGTTGTCAGCTTAACCGGCTTAAATGTCTGTCCCACCTACTAAAAGCTGTAAGGGGATAATTAACTTTCAGGCGCGTTCAGCTGACAGCAATTTAGCGTGAACCCCCAGGGAGTTAGATCAATCCAGATGGATTGATCTAAATCTATGGAAACCCAGTCTAACACACCAATTTTGCACTTACACCATTTCTTCCCATTGCAACTAATGTGTACTTATTCACTTTCACAAAAACTCTGATTACACAATTTGGATCATTTCTATAATTTCAGTGAAAGGAAATTGTCATGACATACTTCGAAGACTGTACTTCCACCCATCCACACTGTGATACATTCATATATATTTTCATATATACTTACTGAAACCTACATACCATACAATATTCTGCTCTCAGGCATACAAAGCAACATGAGACTGCAAACTGAGAATTTTACAAGCTGGTACATGTAACACAACAGTGGTATATATGTGAAACTGTTAGTAGTGAAAAATGCTATATATTGATGAACGAAGAAATATGCTTATAAAGCACAAAAATACACATTTCAATGCTTAGTTGTTTGCTGTTAGTAAAATGTTCTAAGTTAACAACACAGCATAGCAAATAAAATAAAGCTAATCTATAGCAGAGCATAAGAGCAATGTTTTAACCAGTCTACATTTTCTACCTTAAGTGTACTGTATCATAAGGGAAATGTTGTTATGTTTAAGGATAAAGTTCAGTGATAATAATCAAAATTTGAATTTTTGGGCGAACAGATCAATTGAAGAAAAAAGATTACAGGTTACAGATGTTATTGTTTTACAGCAGGTTAGCAAATTTAGATATATGTTGTGGTAATGATTGATAAAATTTCATATACAGCAAAGATGACATAACAATGCATCAAAGTAATGGTAAAGCTAGGAAGAATGTCAGGACAGTGTATGTAAGTTGTAGTTGTGGTATAGCAAGAAAGAGTACCATAACTGTTACAGTGTATGTAAGATACAGTTATAGCAAGGAGGAACATCATGACAATAATGTACATGTAAACTGTAGTATAACAAGTTCAGATGTCATGGCAGTGTGTGTCAGTTGTGATGATATTACAGTGATATTACAGTTAATGCTGCTAAAGCAAAAGTTAAAGCAAAACAATGAAGTTAAGGTAAGCTGTACATTCTGCATCACACAAGCTTGCGGTACCAATGCTTTACAAGAGATGTCATATCTTGAGCTGGTAGTTAACAGTGGAAGTAGGAGGAGGGTTGCCAGTATGCACGGATAATGATTAAACATACACAATAACTTCCGAAGGTTACTCTAACGTGTAATTTATGGTTGTAATTTTTATTGATGCCAGTAAGTTTATCTTATTGCTAAAAATCTGAAAACATGATATTGAAAATAATATAATCTATATTCCAAAAATATATATCTAGCTTGAAAACACAGGGGTGAAGTATTGGAGCATAACACTCCTTACAGCAAACTGTGATCTTGTTTCCAACAATTTTTTTCAAAAGTCCAGTGTCATTCTTTTTTCATTCATTCAAAACATGCTTATCAATACAAAATAATAATTTTGATCCCTCCCCCCATGAAATTCATAATCAAGAATGAATTTGACAGGAAATATAGATAACAACTAAAAACATCATATTAGGGGTCAAATATCCTTAAAATAAAAATCAAAATTTTACTAAGATAGTATGTAAATATATTCACATAAGTATGTGGCAATAATATGAAGTAGAAGCAGTGCAGAAGGTATGGTAAATGTCTAAATTAGTCTTTAAGATGTGTCATTAAAACAAGGTTAAAGCCATCTTAAAGATTTACATGCAGCTAGAATTCTACTCTGATATCTACAATCATGTAAAAAAAGTAAATTAAAACAATGTAAAAGGAAAGTAGGATGGATTAAACAATGCATGTTTTTAAAAGTCTAAAATTCAAAATAAATGATTTATTACCTATAAAACAAAATTTAAGAAAACAACTACCACTGTGACTAAGAAGCAAGCAGATTTAGATGATTAAGAAGGCATCTAATTGACTAAAAAGCTCTACTGCAGTATCACAGAAAAATAAGCTATAACTGTGACAAAAATTGCAGATGCACAGGACTAGACAAATATGTACATAGCTATAAAAAGTTCTACTCAGTATTAAGGAAAGAGGGATGTTGACAGTTAAAGTATACAGTTGTATTTGATTGATTGTGCAGCCAAGAGTATATATGTAAATACCGTTTGGATGCTTAACACAAAAGTATTGGAATATTTAACAAAAAAGAAAATACTCAAAAATTAAATCAATAAATGCCACTTACGAAACCAATCTGTTAATGAAATTTCCATGTCAAATACATCTGTGAAGATCCACTTATCAGTAAATTCAGACAGGTCTTAAGAATTCCTCCTCGCTATTACGTCATTTTAGAAAATCAATTTATTCAAAGTTGATCACAGCGCTCAATTTGAGAAATAGAAATGATTATCAATGAAGTATGGGTAGGACCACTTACCATGCTCCCCAGGCCCAGGGTTAACAACATAAAGAAGAATAGGAAGGACCAGAGTGGAGAGATGGGCAATCTTGTTACTACCTCTGGGTATACCATGAACGCAAGGCCAGCACCTGAAATATAGATAGAGAACTTTTTCGTAGAGACAAGTTGAGGCAATATATATAAGTTGTCCCTGTCTATGTCAAGGGAGTTTTTAGTGTCTGTGACAATGTCTAAATTATTTAATGTGTCTATATTATTTAATATTACCATGAATTAAGAACTTCTATGGCTGTGTTGCATTAGACAAAGTGCATCCTGTGTAAATCACTTTTGTCCATTCCTCAAAATGAATGCATATGTTTGTTTACTCTGGTGAACTTATATATTACTATTTCACATTTATTCTAAATTCTAGATCATCTCACCCTGAGCCACCACATCACCCACGCCTTGATCCAGCTCATGAGCAAGGTAGCCAACGATGGCAAATATGACAATGCCAGCGAATATACTGGTGCTGATATTTCCAATGGATACAATCAGAGCATCCCTGGAAAACAAGGTAGTTTATCCATCAAAACCCACCTTTCATAATAAAAAAATCTTTTAAGATGCAGCTGTGAATTAAGTAATATAATGACAGCACCACAAGTGTTTCAAAATTTATCCAATCCAAAGGTTATTAAAAGGACAATAGAACAGCTGTGTGTGAGGCATTTAAGTTCACACAAACCAAGCGACCCGTATAAACATTCCAGTGAAACAGGTGAAAACAGAATTGACATTGGCAATACTTAGGTTCATCTATCTTCAATGATTTATAAACTATAATGTTAAACATAGTAAACTCTAGATAAACCATTCAAAAGTTTTTCGTCTGCACATGCTGTCTTATGTATAATTACTATGCAAACAAAGAAATATATTTTGACCAGTGACATACTCACTTGAAGCAATTATTATTGAATTTATTATAGCTGGCCAGTGCTATAAGTCCACCCCAAGCTGGACTGAGACTGAAGAAGATCTGGACAGCTGCCTCCACCCATACCTGGAGGTAAAAACAACACACATTGAGAGGAAATCCCTCACAGTCACAACTAACGCATCACATCACAACTACCACACTATTTCACCCATAATAAATACACGTACCTCCTTTTCTAACCTCAACAGACTATTTACTTCTACATCAGTCAGGTTTTAACAACCATACATTGTCTGTGAAAAAATTCCAACGATCTGCTCCTTATTTAGACTTGCTAATGATGCAATAAAATGTGCACAAAGTGACAACTCCTAAAGTATGGAATATAAATCAATCTACAGCACCCACATTCAAAATGAACTGTTTGCATGTATATTTAAGTATGACAATTGTAACAGCAGTTCATGGTCAGCTGTTAGATGCATATTACTAGGTTAGTATGCTTCCTTATCACCTGGCCTAGTATGTTGCCATTAAAAAGAAATTTTGGTAGCAACTCGTTTTTCAGTTCATCACTTGACTTGGAATGATATACTTGAAATGCAATGAATAATATATAAAGCATGGACAGACAATGTATGTCTGACTTGACTTTTTAGTTTCGAAAATTCAAGAGTCGGATATTTTTAAACACCGTGGTTTGGGTAGAAAACAAACTTAAGGTAACTGACCATTCGTTCATTTAAATTGCAATAAAATGCAGACCTCAGCTGAAATTTTGTCTAAAAACCTAAGTAATAAACCAATTATTCTTTCAATCTGCAATTAAAATCAGAACTCTGCAAGTATCTCTTGATCTATTCATTTGCTCATTAGATTTTTTACTGAATGACATCATAGGCATGGGAACATGGCTTTGATTCAAATGTGGGGGTTCTTCAAATGTTTTTCATAAAAGCATAATTAATTAAGTGTACTTAATTAACTTTGAGTGCCTCCTGTCCTTAGAAAACATTTAGGAGAGGAGAGATGTCATCTAGTACTTTTTTTTTAATGCTAAGCTAAGAAACCACAATACATCTGACAATTTGATATATTCACTCTCTACAACCACAATAAAAAGTCCTCACACGCTGAAATCCTTTTAGCACATTATCTAATGTAATAAAGGCATTATCCAAATTTAATAAGCTTTTTTCTTGCCATTGTCCTAGGAAAACATCCAAGAATGAGGACATTTTTAATGATTTCTAGCAAGCCTATGGCCAACCCTGAATATCATCAGGTCAGAAATCAACTGGCCCTCATTTAAATTTAAATAGCTTAAAAACTGATCAGTTGGAAAAACAATATTTCCACTGGAAAACTTTGCCAGCAAAAATGCACACATATATGAAGCAAACAAAATAAAGGTTGTCCTTTCCATTTTAATTTTTCAAAAAAAAAAAAAAAATTATTATAATAATAAATAAAATAAAAAAATAAATAATTACATATCTTGCAAATTGCGTTTTAAATGTGTTTTATTAAAGTCTACTGAAAATTTTAAAATGGATTTTAGACTTTAAAAATTAATTTATTAATTAATTATTAATTTATTAATATTTCAAAAAGCTGTCACAGTTGATGTCTACTCACCTTTGCCTTGCCCAGTCTGTGCCACTCAGGTGTGAGATAGAATTTGATACCGTCCACCGACCCAGGTAACGTCACTCCACGGATGAGGAGGATGAAGAGGACAACATACGGGAACAGAGCCGTGAAATAGGCAACCTGAAATTTGATGAAAAGATGTAAGTTCATGTGCCTAGTCAAAGATTAAATATGAAAAATAAAAAAAAAAAATCTGGGAAAAGTTACTGAAGTACTCAGTCTTGAGGGCAAGGTGGTTGAAGGGGGGTTCAAATCTAGTGCTTTTGTGTCTGGAAATAATGACTGTTCAAAGTTAAAATCAGTTCTTTTTTATATGCCGTAATGAAAAGCATGTCTATCACAAAAATAACACCCCATCCCCCCATTAAATTGTTGGCTTCAGGCCTGGTACTGTAAACTTAATACTGCAAATGCAGTCTTGTTCACAGTGACAATTTGGTAGTGATCGAGTGCCAGTCGTTTCACTTTTCCTACTTATGAACTCTTATTAGTGTTTCAATAATTTCTTCATCTGAAGAATAACAGTCAGATATAAGCATCATATGCAGGAAGTACTTGAAAGTACCCAAGGTACAAGGCAGTTAAGACTTGAATTCATTCACTGACCTATCTGTACTGTAAGATGCTTCCACACAGATGCTGAACCAATCCTTGACTCTACAGTTCAGTGGAAGCAGCTTACAGTGCAGAAAGGTCAGTCACTTTAGTTTGCAGAAGGTGTACTCAAGGTTAAGAAAGTGACTTACACAGCACTCCTTCCCACCTCTTCCACCATGCAAAGAATGCTATTTAACACCTTCTCATCTCCCTCTCAACACAGTAGTAAAAAGTACTCTCTTAGGACTCCTCTCTTACTCCACCTACCTACTGTATTTACTGCAGATTGTGTATTAAAATAATAACCTTACTGGTACAAGCACAACGTGTACAGAGGCGATGACAAAACAAACTCATGTATTTTATAAAGTGCAAATAACCACGAATAAGAACACTTTCAGTGTTTTGGAGTCAGCCTTGAATATCATCACCACAGAAAACTATTGCTCATCATCTAAATATAAATAGATTGAAATCAATTTGGCTGGAAAAAATAATCCCACAGAAGAGCACTGCTTTAAATTAAGTAAACACATGAAACTAACCAAATACTTACAGAAAATTCATCATAAAAATATGGATAAGGAACCTTTTTACATTATGAATCTTTAAAATTTTCAAAAACATTTTTGTATTAAAACAAAAAACAGTTGTATATAAAATATCTACAGCTGTTGCATGGGTTGTCCTCAGTCCTACCTTTCCAAAGGACTGCACACCTCTTGAGAGACAGGCAAACACAATGAGCCAGGCAAGGAGCAGGCAGAGCAGTAGTTGCCACTTCACTGGGCCAACGTTATCTATGCCATCACTCAGCTCTAATACATAGTTCCTGAAAGCATGGTGAAAATACATACATCAAATTGAAAACCAACTCTTAAAAAATTGCACAGCTTAGAATATGATGGCATGATCATAACTAAAATAAGACATGTTTATGATTGGCCAATTTATTATGCATGTAATTTTTCTCCTCTTAAACAAGAAACAATTTATTATGTCATCGTACTTTACTCCTGATTAGATTTTTATTCAACAATTCAATTTTCACTGCAATTGAAACAAAGAGCGCATTCTCAACGAATTAAGCCAGGCTTTACAAAGCCGGTGACCTAAAAATGGCGGACGTACATGAAAGAAAGACCGCCTAATCTTTTAATAGTCTCTCCGNTCAATTTTCACTGCAATTGAAACAAAGAGGGAGACAAATTTTGCAACTTTTGTCCCAGAAAAAGACAAGTTTTGTGGGCTTGGGTTGCAATGGGAACAGGATGATCTATTCATTTATCATGTAACATGTGCCACTGTTTGTCTAATGAGCTCTAAGAGCATGACTTCCTTATTGCTGTTAAATCATTTAGACATGCAAAGTCAGCATATTGAATGGAGCAGCATCACCCTTTTCAGGACTCATAATAATAAGAATCTGGGATAAATTGTTGGTCTAAATCTCTTTCATAAAATGGCAATGCTTTTTCTTACTTTTTTTTTTTGACCCATCTAACTAACAGGAACACAGACATGATTTTCGACTGTAAAAAAAAAAAAAAAAAAAAGGAGGAAATGACTCAGAAACCTTACTACAGGGGATATAGGTGCTGCTTAAGGCTGATAAACTACCAAGAAAAATAATGGATTTTTGATATATATTGTACAAAAAGAAAAAATGTCTTGAAACAGTAACTGAATCAATGCTTTCAAAATTCCACCAAAGTATTCAACCAAAAATATTGGGGCAATTTCAAACAGGGTTGATTTTACACAATTTTCCCTGGTTTGTGATTTAAATAAAATCTCACTTTAATGCTATTCAATGAAGTGCAATAGGTTAACTTTATATAAATTGTATTTAGTACAAGCTGACCTCAATTGAAGCCTGCCTGCTTTCTTTGAACAGGTTTACTTATTTACCTACTTCCCTAACATAACAAGGCAGCTTTTGTTAAAAGAATCAATAAGCTAAAAGTAAATAAGTTATTGAACTTTTCAACTCCACTTGGTTGATCAGAATTAACTGCTGGAGTGACCATGTCAAGGTTTATCAACATGGACAATATTGAGCAAGGGGGTTTCCATTATATAAGTATCTCAATCAAATGAAAATTACCAATTAGAGATACAGAAGGAATTGGGTTTCTCTGTCCCTGATTTTAGGGGCATTTTAAATCAGCTTCAATCACTTGTTGAGGGTAGTCACCTGTGAAAGATGGATTTCTTTAGAGATTAACTTATACCCCAGACATTAGTCTTCACCAGGATTGTGCCACAGTCCAATAGTGCGGAGTTCATTCAGTGCTTCACTACCAGGTCTTATAATTCTTTACAGCAAATTAAATTAACCAAACAATTCTGGACATTTTATGACTTTTAGAAGCTTTTATCTTTCTAATGTAGCCTAACATAAGAGTCTGGAGAGATAACAACATCTAAATATGTCAGATTTTTGACGCTGCCTTATCAACTACACAATTTTGAAAGACAATTTGTAGTGCAGTATCCTGTTAGCACAAGATAATCAAAGCAGAGAATTACACAGCTCAGTCTTTTTTTTTAGACTGACTTGTATTAGTTCTCTGGTGACTTCCTACACATTTTGGCTCGGGCCTCATTCAAAATAGTACCTAAGTACTTTGCTCTTCCTGAGTTGAATTTATTATTCATTATCACAACTATTGCAATTTATCTGTCAGCAGACTCACTCAAAGTAGTCCTCTGCTGGTGTCTTTTTGGTGGCATTGTGAGCCAGTTCCTTCAGGTAGCTAAACTCCTCAGTGGTATTGGGGAACATACAGGTGGCATTAAGGTAGACGCTGCCATTGAATGTAGCACAGTTGTCTGCATCAGCGTAGGAGTAACACTCTGAAATAACATAGCACTCATTATCATTATTATGAATTGATCAGAAAAAAATTTCGGAAACAAAAACAATATTCTTATTCATATCAGACTCAATCTTGGTTAAGATACAAAAGTAAATCATTTCTAAAGAGACTAAACAGGTTTTTTACCTATGAGGGCATGATGTTTTGGCTCATCATCAAAGGCGCTTGATGGCATGACTGATTCAATGGAACAATAGGTAAAATAACACGTTTCGTCTCTTTAGGTTTGACATTTTCACCATTATTACACAAGATGCAATGAAAAAACTTGTTTCACAGACTTGATATTCTTTTAGAAGATCCTACACTGTGTTGCATCTCATGACAATGCCAAAGCTGTCACTGTGATTATCAAATCAAAACACTGTTCAAAATAATTATTTGAAAACTATAAACATGTCCGACATAAGAATGTTATTGATGACATGAAAATAAGTAACAAAGTCCACAATATAGTTCAGCATGAATGGACAAGAACAAATGTTGAGATGTTCAGTTAAAACAATGTGGTGTCAAATGAACTGAAATCTTATCACAATGTACTTCCATCTGTACACTCTTAAAAACAGGACATAAAAAAATAAGAATTTCACATATATGTTTTCACAAAGGCCTAACTTCTCTGTACTCAGAGGATGAGGATGTAAAAACACTCTGAGGATGTAAAAAAAAAAAAAGAATATGATTATTGCAACCAAGTCATTGACTCTCCATCAATCACATACAACTGTAAGATCAATTTTTGCTCCAAGTTTATAATATAAACCAAAATCTTTCTTGCTGAAGTATTTAGTCTTTTTGTTAGTAATTGGCTGTTCAAACTAACTTTACATTAATTATAGTATACATAGTCAAAATATGGACATCTTGATAACTGTGTTTGAACACTTATGCCATTTTACTACTTCAAAATGCTACTTCAAATCAATTTACTTGTAGTAACAAACCTTCCAAAATCTGTCGGACTCTAAATCAATTGTTACTCAAGCTTTTATTTACAATTTCTGAAACTGCTTAACTAGAATATTGTAAAACCTATCAAACATTTATTTATGCATTGCAATGCAATTTACACATTTGTTGTTTTTAAGAGCATAATTCGACTATGACTTAGGCAATGGGCATATACCAAATGCCTCACATGTAACAGTACGAGGCACCTTACTATGAAACATGACCTTCGGACAAGACATGATAAAAAGACAGTTATGCTAACAACATGATGTTGTATGTAAATAGTCATCCTTCGCATTGTTGAAAGAACATAACCTGTTGGCATGTTTTCATTGGACAACTTGAGAACATTCCTTGGATGGCTTCAAAGGGGGGAAAAAGCCAAAACACACATGGGTCCATGGTCGTTGACATCATAGCAAGACCCTTAACTCTTCCCTACCACTGCATGCTCGTAATCTAACATTCCACGTTACTAAAAGTGATCAAGGTGTGGATGTACAGAAATTGGGTTTACAACTGTGAGTGCAATAAATGTCTATAAATTGGCTGCGTTTCAAAGATTTTATGGAATCTTGTCCACCAAAGTTGGACACTATCCAAACGGAGAAATAATTCTCAGAATTAATAACAACAGCAATAACAAACAACACAAAGGAAGGCATAAGAAAAAAAATACCAGACAAAGAGTCTGGAAAGAATTCAGAGACTGGGTGGTATATTCTTGACATGATCCCAAATTCCCAATCCATAGACAAGTGGTTCTGTATCAATTCATCCCCTGCTGATTGTGGTAACCATAACTGCATGAAAAAACAATGCAGGAATCCTGGTCAAATTGGTGCCAGATACTACAGACTGTACTCAGCCAAAGTAGATACCTCTAAGTATACACTTTTCCATAGATCTTGTTACAGAAAGTGGTCATGACTCTACTGAGTCCTTGTTTTGTAATGGTTAAACATACATAATACACTATTCTGACATAATACATCATGGGATTTTATTTACAAGAAGGTACTCCCCAAGACAATTTTCTAAGAAACAATTAATTGAGGAACAGAGAACAACAAAGAAAAGGAATGTGTGCTTAAACATTGGAGAAGTATAAATATGATATCAACTGAGTAAAATTTTCATCAAGTTAATTTTTTGTAGCTGGCAAAGGGGACTTCATATACAAAATTAACTGATAGCACTCAAAATATTTTGGGTCAGTTTTTCTTATCATTAGATAAGTAGCAAGGGCAAATTTATATTTTTACAAAGGGTAGAGAAGGTCACATTTTCAGAAAAAATGCAGTTTGATGGATGAAAATTATCAGTCTCTGTTGCAGCCAAAGTCCTTCTAGTTCAATCACCAGGAGTGTCCAGAAAGATGGCCACCAACTGCTGAGATCTCTATCACCATATAAGATAGGCCTCCAAGCTGTAACATTCATCATTAGTATACTGGATAAAAACAGAAAGCTAACAACAGACAGCTTACATCACAGAGTGTTATTGAACAGGTCATGGGGTTTATGTTGTCGGGGGCCATCCTACATTTTGGAAATCACAGAATGCAAAAATGTGCTGATCAGTCATGTCAGTTCATCCCCATTAATGGAATTTTAGCAATTCTTTTTTGTCTTTATCACACATATTCCTGAAAAGCTATGAGCAGTGAAAAAAGTCAATCTAAGTCACCTACAGTTTTATGGTGTGGGTGCACATCAGTTCCCCCACAATGTATTATACAGCACATTATATCTTATGGTCTTAATTTGTTGTCTAGACATCCTTCTTCATTGTGTTGTTGCAGAGAGATGGGAATTACAATGTCTAATTAGCAAATTAGAAAAACAACAAACATGTTATGAACACACTATGTTACACCACAACTTAGGGAAGGGGTAATCTATTTAGTGAGCACAAGAAAAATGCTTGCACTTGTAGTAATCTTAGTTGTAGAAATTAAGGCTAGACATAAAGTCAAGAAAACGTGCATATACATCATCTGAACTAAATGTCTAGTAATCTTCAGAAACATGTTATGAAACAAGCTATTTATATTAACAAAAAATAGAAAGGTAGTGGGAGGGGGATTAACTTACCGTGTGTTGCCCACTGAGGATCGCAATGTTCCCATGGCAACACAGAGGTGAATGTGGCTGCTATATAGAAGATTGTCCACGCCAGAATCACATTGTAGTACAGTGATACAACCCCAGATATTATAACCATGCCAAATCCCAGACCTAGAGAATAATACACGCAATACATTAAACATTTATTGGAAGTTTAAGAAACACAGTAAAAGAGATGAGCATATAAGTAAATATAATAGTATTACAAATGAAACACTGAATAAAAGAAAACATTATTACAGAAATATTTTTATTTGATATGTTATTTTATCTAACAGAAAATGAACTTTTTGACCTTGTCATCAATCAATATAACCTGGCACAGAGCAAATTACTAACACAATTCAAAAGAATCACGACAAAAACAACACAATCATCATGTTCAAATATCATTGCCCAGTCAAATAATAATCACTCTGTATTCCTGGAGTGTCATCAGTTCTTAGAAAATACATTCAAGGAAAATTGATTCTGGCATCACTTCAAAGTAGAATTACCCTTTAAGGGTGAGAAAGTCAATTAACATTTCCCCATATGTTGTTGTTGATACCCAGAGGGCCTCACTGTACAGTATGCTACCCAACCTACATTAGCATATCATCAATGCTTCAATACAATGTAACATTATAACACCAGGAGCATAGAAAATAGAAATGTGGTCTGCTTGGGTTTTTTTTTTTCTTTTCCAAAAACTTATATATTTTATATGAATACATTTATTTATTTATTTATTTATTTATTTATTTATTTATTTATTTATCCCTTTTTTCAACTACAGCCTGTTATAATCTAGTAAATAGTAGATAGGCTATCAAAGCATATTTGATGTAAGGTCATGTAGAGGTTTACATTTAACTTAGAAAACAGCTTTATTTGTTTTGAGACAGGTAACCCAAAACACATCAGCACACAGGATGTTGACCTGGTAGTCAGAATCAAACGCTAAGTTATTCCTTATGTTGAAAATTCATCTTCAGGGCACTTCCCACATGGAAATATGAAGTGTTATTATTTCATCAACCACCTTCACAAAATAAATAATTCAAAGTATCACAGATATTCATGAGGTAATAAACTGCGTAAGAGAGGGAATATTTTAGAAAGCTGACGACAAAGTCAACTGTTTATTTACAATGTAATGTTCTACTTAAAAAAAAAGTAAAGCCTCACAGGAGGATTCTCCACTCTTTGCACGTCAATACAAGAGCTAATGAGGCGCTTAACACCTGTTCCAATGTTGAAGCAAATTAATAAATACCACCTGGTACTTAATTTTCTCTCTCCCCCCCTTACCCCTCCCTCCTTAATGTGGATAGTGCCATGCTGCACATCAAAAAACATATTATGCTGGAGAATGAGAAAATAAATGTCAAATTTCTCATAATTCAACACAAAACCAATACAGCTAACTGAGACAAATATGTTTAAAAATGTGTGACCTTTTCAGCAATCATAAGACAAAACAGGAGATTATTTGTTTGCCATTTAATAGTTCGGTTTCTCAACAAATGTCATAACATGAATCTCTTCAGAAAAGAAAAAAAGAAAGCAGAGGAAATGCTTGGCGTATTCTAATGTTTCTTTGGATATACAGCACTTTTCTAGGATCACTGAGCCAGTCAAAGCAGTTTCAGAGGCACAATCTTTAGCATATAATCCAAATTCACTTTTCCTCATTGAGGACAGCGAGAAAGGTTACCTGGGTGTGAGAGGGGGAGGGGGGGAAGAGCACCCAGAAATACTTACCATGAAATAAGGGACAGAACTTTCCAAATATTGCAGTGGGTCCTAAGCTGGCATACTGCCCAAACGCCATTTCCATGAACATGAGTGGGATGCCGACCAAAATTAACATTATAATGAATGGAATCACAAAGGCACCTGAAATAAAAAATATAATAGATTATGACATGCTATATGCAGATTTGCTTGGTTTACTATTAAATGTTCTGGACATTAAACAGACTGAGTAAATGTTTTCTAAATTATATGTCATATTCCAGTCTACACTCACATTAAATTTTTTATTAATAAAATCTACAAAAGTAATTTTACCAAAGAAGTTTACTAAAAATTAATGTTGCCCAACACCATTTTTTCTACTGCTTAGACATTCAACTATCGAGTGACAGTCCCAAAATATAAATCAAAGTCTTTATTTAGTTTTGTCAGATCAATCAATGGCAAGAAATATGTGTGAAATGCATGCAAATGTCTTGTAAGGGAGAGGCCTGCTCATGCGAACTTTGAAAAATTCATCATGTTCTTATTCTATATGAAATTAATGTCATTTTCATAACAGATAGCGGTAAATCAATCTTACTCCCTGACATCTCCATGAGTACAATAAAGGAGTCAGTGTTAGCTGAAAAATGTGCTGTCCATGATGAAGGTTATCCCTTACAGTGTACCTTACTTCTGTCTCTCTCCACAGACACCTGTCAACCTCTATCCAAATCATTTTTCAGAGGCACTGGTATTACATAATGCTGTTCTCTACCTGGATCATAGCACAAGACGGTACTGCACTGCCAGTATTTATAACAATGTTTCATTTCAGTAAAACACTGTGTTATGACTATTTCTCCTGTTTTGGAACAGACTGTTGCTAGGACCCTAGCCTTTTTAACAGACTGAACTGACTTAATGTTTAATCAAGAAAGAAAAACAAATATTCAAACATTAATTTTCATCTCTGCAGGTATATCAGGACATTTACAAATTTGTAGAAAATATTCATTCATATATGCGACATGTTTCCTACTTGATTCTAAAATCACTTCATAAAATATTTTACAGGTAATCCAAAACTAACACATTTTTAATGTTCATCCATTTTAATTGGGTGTCAAATTTCGGGGATTTCGTGTTCCAAACATAGGAATCCATGCCCTGTGTATACAAACAAGCTATGAGTGTATGTGAGTGTGAGCACAAGTAACTATGTTACCTGGACTACTGCATATGTTATACTACTGTTACTCTGCTATCATAACTACTTAAAACTTAACTTGACCCAGACGGAACAGGTTAAGTAAACAATGTGTTTGGAATCTGCAAGTCATTATGAAGTCACAATATGAGGTGTGATGTACACATGTTTTCTGCTGCCACAGCCCTAGTCTTGTGTCCTCATGAAAAATACCAAATACATATTCGATATTTGTTGTCAATAATGTAACACTTCAAGGTGAGAAAGCAATGTCAAACATAAGTAAAAATCCGGACTTTCCATTTTGTTGAAAAGAACTTCTGCTCTAATTTAAAATCCAATGAAATTATTACAAACCATTATACTGATCTTTAACTTTGGTTTCAAATCCTTCTAACAAAATTGCTGCACTTGAAAATGGAAGAGAAAGACGTGAACTGAAAAACTTGCAACAGAATGTTTTAAACTGAATATCAAAAGAACATGGCTTAAAGAATTCAAGAACGTTTTGATATGTAAACTTCTACATCTGCCATTTTAAGTTCCCTATGCCGCCTTTATATATCTGGCTGTACAGCTAGAGTTAACCTTCAGATCAGCTCTTAGACGAAAGACTGCCTGACATATTGCGGTACATTTTTCCTAAATCACTTTTGAGGCATGTCTGTATCACGTGAAATCATCAGTCTCAGACATACAAAGGATTTGTAATGATGTACAAGTTGACTTACTTCACACGTTCCATGGTCATATTATCAACATAACAATATTGCTACAATGTAGCAATTACCATGGTTGTCAACCCACATATACCACACACTGATGAGATAGACTTAATCACCGTGCCACATTCACTGTGTAAGAACCATAAATGCAGAAAATAATTGCCTTCATAAAAAATAATGCTAAAAAAATGATGCCTAGACTTGTTGTTTTATTCAAAATAACAACCTAGTTAAAACGTTGTTGGAGAAATAGTAAAAATTTAAAATCACAGTACTAGTAACCATCATAAGTAGCAGAGGCATCTGACAATCAGACAGTTTCCAGTCAACTCATAACTATTCTAAGTAGGTGTTTCGTGTCGACCATTCACCGATTTTCAGCAGTTCTTCTTAAACAGCACAAAATATATTGATTTCATTGCAAGTGACCAGACACATGAACTTTCCACAGTCATGATTATTTAGCGTGGAAGCCACCAGTACAGTCATTATTTCTGGAGAACATATACCTTGCAACAGACCACACCACACCACACCACCATTTAACAAATGTGCGCAAGATGAAGGCATAGCTGAATGTCTGGTAATTTATCTTTTTTCTTTTTAATTTGATGGAGAATTGGTCACTTGGTACCTTTGTCTTATGATTTAAGGTTTCAGTTCATGTACGTATGTCACCACAGGTGCAAGGAAATGAAGGTGCAGTCAGTTCATCACCATAAAAGATAGGTTCAAAGTTCTAGATTTATCATTTTAGATACATATAACTATGCACTGAAAAATCTTTCAAAGGTTTTTTTTTTCTAATTTAATTGTTTGAAGACAAGAAAATCTGCAAACCCCTTTCTGTTTTCTAAAAACATACACCTCACAAACAAATGAAATGGCATGACATCAAACGAAGGTAATTCCTCGACATACATGTACCTAAAGTAAGTACCACTGAACTACATAACATTTAAACTAATATGTTGTTTTAATTGCGAATTTGGCAAGGCGATACAGTTGATCACAAAAGCAAGTGACAAACCTAGTAGTACATAGCATAAGAGTGTATCACAGGCCAGACTGCTAAAATGTCTGCCAGAGAGCTAGTGTGGTTGCAAAAAACTAACCTCCTCCATTTTGGTATGCTAGGTAGGGAAACCTCCATACATTCCCTAGACCAACTGAATATCCTAGAAGAGATACAAGGAAGTCGAAGCGCCCACCCCAGTTGCCTCTCGGTTTATGTGGATCTTCGTCATCTTTTTCTTCATCTTCGTCATCATCTTTTGTGTCCTCGAAGTCCATACGCAGTGGCTGCGTGCTGCTCGCCAAGACGTTAATGTCATCTTCGTATTCTGCATTACCAGTCGGTGTTTCTACCACTATCTGATAACCAGGTGGACTTGTCTGCAATTCATAAAGAGAAGACATCAGTGAATGATTTGAAGCAAAGTTTCAAAATAAGACCTGGCACATTCAGCAGTGTTTATTTGCAATATAGCATTTTAGGCCTATGAAGCACTGTTTCAAAGTCCTGTTATTGTTTTGTCTCATCTTCAAGTCAAACAAAACATAATTACGAGGACAATATATTATATAAGATTACTGGTTAATTTTCAAGTTGCATATACTTAGGAAAAATCTACTGCCAACAGTTACATACAATTAAAAAAAACTGTAGTAGTTATCTTTCCTCTGCAATTCCCAGCATTATATCTTTGGCTAAAACCAAACATAATCTTGGCTAACCTTTTGGGATATATCTAGTATATGATTCCTGTAAAGGTTGCTATCTTTTTAAATATATCATAGTGCTCTTTTAACCTCAATATGTTACCTCACTTTTAGTCAAGAGTACAGACTTCTAGATAAAATGCTGATCTAAAGATGTACGTATCAACAGTGAAAATGCTACATGGGTACAGTTTTTAGATTAATCTACAGACTTGGGTAGGGCAGGGTTGTCTAGTGCTGACTTTCATCCAATCTTGATATTGTGCACTCCCAGACTCCACAGCACATTGTCTATGCTAGTCTCAACACCATTTATGTGTGAAAAAAAAAATAGCAGAATCGTGTTCTGATACTATGGAACATAAAAGAGGTCAACAGGTAACATTTGGCCAGACAATTTACCATCAGTGCAGTATATCTTCCTCAGACTGACTGTGCAACATTAGACGCCTCCGCATTCACAATCCAAAGCCATGTGTAGATGCAGTGAGCTGCACTTCATAACATTTGAAGGGTATTCTAAAACAACTGGTGATGCAATACTTTTCACTCTATAATTTAATAAAAGTTTGTTTTTTTTTCTTCAAAATGCTGTTGAAACTTGTTCATTTTATTAATTATAAGACAACTCACTTTGCCTCATATCCAACTAGGATGAAAATGGGTCTTGTTTTTGCCATTTGATCTCACAGGAAGGAATCAGAAAAACATTACAAAAACCATTTTTATGACACTTAACACAAGACCCCAGCGTTAATCTAAACAACACAGTTCACAGCAGTACTACATCATAACAGAACCCTCTGGTCTGTAGTAAACACTGAAAGGAAGGCACAGGAGGGAATACTATTTGGTGGTACTGGGACTGGGTAGGGTACATATTGCTTCAGACAGATCTAGATATTAAAATATGGAAAATAATTAATGATCAAGACGCTGGTCAGACTTATGTTCTAAACTCTAAGACAAATAAGCATGAAACAACACCATGTTTATATGTTTTTTTGCCCTAGTACATGGTCTATTAACACTACAATCTGGTGAAGAGGTGGCTTTAGGTGAGAAGAAAATGCCAAACCAGGTATCCTTACTCTTAAGGATACAGTCTGTTATTTCTATCAAAGAGCAATCTCCCATCTTCTACTGTAAGCGAAACGTCAGTGGGATGTTATTTTACTTCCAAAATGACCCCATGTTACTGAGGGTTATGTCCATTGTCTTAGTCTAATTCATCCCAGAGGTTTCAGCCAAGTGGAACTCCCTGTACTCACCATAGTTTTGTTTTCCGTGCTGTGGCTCACGACTTCCTAAGTGCACCACCCAGTCTGTAACTCACACATACACACCAACAGCTGCTCATAAGAACAGATTTACCTTGGCCTGGCTTTTTTTAGTGCAGCATACTTTTCCCCACTGAGAATAGTTTTATTTGGGTTCCTTTCTGTCGGTAATTTTTTGGCATGGTATTAATGTTATTAAAGAAATTAACAAAAAATATACTGCTTCATCAATGTCCATTTTCACTTAAAGGGATAATAACTCTTGGTATAAGATCTATATTTCACAATAAAAACATTGTGAACAACTCATAGAAATATAATATATTCTGTTGTACCACAAAAACGGCAGTTATAGCTACTACTCTGATATCTGAGCTTGTCTTCAGACCACGTGACCTCCATTGATGGCTATACTCTGTTATAATCTCTTAAGAGATTATAACAAAAACTTTTTAGGAAAAAAAAAACGGGGACTAACTTTGAATGTAAAAATGGATTCATTAACCATTGGTAAGTATGGGAAAATTGTTGTTTACTCCAGAAAAATCCATTTTTGGTCAAAACGAAGAGTTATTATCCCTTTAAAATACATGAATAACTTTTTTTTCAAACCAGACAGAGAGCACTTTATTGGTAGCAGCAAGAGTGACTACTTTGTGTCTTATTTTGATTAATAAAAATGTAAAGTATCAAGTTCATGAGTATTTTTATCTTCACTTTAAATTGCCAATACAGTAAAAAGAGCCATTTGGCTTTTACACAAACTGCACAACCACAAAGGAACTAGGCGAGACATGGGTAATTTTAATGGCCATGAGTGGTACTGAAGTATTGCAACAATGAAGAGGGATCAGGCACATTGATGTGCTGGGACCAAAAACCAGTGGTACAAGCATCAAGATCATCTACTTGTAACTGATATGACAGCAAACATCAAATGGTCACCTGTTGACTGCTTGGATGGATTGGGTATAAATGTCATTTTGAAATCCAAGGGCGTAGCACATGCAATGACTGTAGTGTATGTCATTTTTCTTTTGTCATCCCTCAAACCATCTTCCTTGCTTGACCCCACATACACTGATTATTGCTCAGATATCCACCTCATCTCCCGCCCTCCACCCTGCCGCCACTGACCCATGAAATGGGAGGCACTGCTGCTTCCCATAATCTCTAATGCCATCTTCCATGGGTCAACGCTTCCCCTTAATGTTTGGGGACACTCAACAAGATAAGAATTGGACAGGGAAGATCACCATCAATTGAGCAATAACAATCCCCAATGCTTAAAGCATCACTTATATACATTAGGCTTCCAGTTTGGACAAACAATTTTAACAGTTGTGGACATTAAGGCCAATAAGGTTTAAGTGGCCGTTAAAGGAGGCAGACCATGTGCACTCATAAACCCATGTAGGCATAGTGCACATTAATCTCGACAGCCACACAGGTGATAACACAGTGGTCATGCCTCAGTGATGGATAACATGTTAAGGAGTGCCTGGCTGTAATCAGCACTACCTTACTTGGAGTAAGAAGAGAAATGAAGAAAAAAAAAATCTTTCATTTTTTTTTTATCAATCCGTATTTTTTTCCTTCTTCTAATGTTGTCAGTGATTTGATAAAACAAACTGCAAGTCACAACAATTGTATTGCAAACTTATTGGAATTAAAATCAAACTTGTTTGGACATGATGTACTTTGTGGTACTGATGGAAAAACAAATGGAGCCAATTTGCCTCAAACTAACTACACACACGCAACTTTGTGCTAGTAAACTAATGACCTTGGTTGAGAAGGGTGAAAACAAAGAGAAGCGTCTGGCCAAACACCTACATTTTTAGAACTGTCTGGGGACTTGTCCAGCCACATTCCATCCGGAACTTCATCCTGATATTCTCCGATTTCAACACGGCTGGTGTTCCTCTGAAATAAGAAATATGGATAATTAACAAAACAAAAAAGTCAACCAAAAACAGGCTACCCATTTCAGCAATATTTGTCAAATCCATTATGAATATCTGATGTGAAATGACACATGCTTACATGTTCAGCATATGGTAATAAATCACAGTTTGCAGACATAACTGCTTGGGTAAAGGCAATATCACTCGGGCATTGCCAAACTTACTCTAAAACCTTATGAGTGACTATGGTATATTTATTTGTTTAAAACCGAGTTGCTTTGAAATAATTTTCAATGCAAAATCTTTGACTTGAACACGTTTATTCTAAAGTAATATTTCAATATCAGAAGAATGTTAAACAAAATACATTTTGTCAGAAATTGGTGTTTGTTTGTATGTTTAAGTGTCATGGTGGATCTAGATCACATTACCCACATTAACCTTCAAAGTTTCTATGACGTAAATGTCACAAATTTACATTAAAAAGGCATAAGGTAAACACTCAAATTTTTTACAATTATATTATCAATGGAATGGATATAAGAAATCTTTACAGAAATAAGACTTCTATTGGATAGAACATTTTAAAAATATATAAACAAATTGACCTTGACAAAAACTCTCCTGGAGGCGTTGGTCCTTGTCCTTGTATCTGATTGGTTTATATTTGGGGGCTTGGCAGGAGAACTTTTGTTAAAACACAAAAGACAAATGCGTATGCCTAGATGCAGTGACCGCAGGTCTTATTCAATACATTAATAACACAAAAGTGCTTATTTGCATAAGAAAACATTTGCAATATTGTTACCAATTTCTACAACTGATCTTTGAAGATGCCGAAGTGCACTTTTAGTGCCAAGCATAACAGACCTTAACATGGAAAATGGTTACTAAAATCAACTGACACTAGTAGTACAAGTACAGCAGTACTCCATACATATCGACACACCACCTGGAGGCAGGCAGAACGGAAAAAAGTTACATACTAGAAGATATTTCATACATAGCATGCAATGTGATCAGTGTACTCAATGGAACTGCACAAGTCAAGTTTCCAATCTAGAGAAACTTACATTTCATATTTTCTCTGCTATATCAATGTTAACTCAGATATTTAGAGTGTTTGTGAAAAAAAAAAGTCCAAAAACCAGGTCACAACATGGGGGTGGAAATGACAGTGTAATAGCTATGCACTGTGTACATGCAGGCGTGTATCTGAACATAATGAATGCTGGCAGTGGTAGAGTTATAGGACAGACAGCTAGCATACACTTCGAAATAAATAAACTGAGTGCAGTACATATCATAAAGAAATTCTGATATTTTTGCTTGCATGACCGTTGATGAAAAATGTTCCCATAAAGGTACATGCCTTTAGGATATTGCTACCAGAAACCAGGAATGTGACTATATGTATTTGAGACTGAAGTTGACCATAAAATAACCTTTGCATGTCTGTACCACACCTGGTGATGAATACATTGGAAGTCAATCATGCCAGATTTGTGTACTGCAAGGAGAGGAATTCATTGTTCACTGTAGTGTGTACAGAAAATACATGCAGTCTGAGGTCATTTTGAACTTTACAATTTTATACTAGATCTTTAAATATCACAGCCAGTGCCTGGTTTAATACCACTTTTTTTGAAATATTAATTTGCTAAAATTTTACCTATCTGACCCCAGTATGAAAATATCCACATCATATCAGTGGGATTAATAAAAGCTGATTAGCTGGCAGTCTGCCAGTGCTTAGACCATAACAACTGACGAGAAATCAATTCTCAGAAGAGAAAGTAGTTTGTAATATGTCTGGTGCTCCTCAGCCACACGTGATTCTGGGATGTAAGCAACAAGATTTATCCCATTAAGGCAACTGGACAGAATGATCTTAAAACATCTTCATTGAAAATGATGCTACCATGAGTCATATGTATGTTTATATTTTCAAGAATTTTGCACTTTATCATTTAACCCTCTGGGTAATGAAAAAAAAAAGACTAATGAATTAATCATATTAATAAAACATATTCTATTAACTAAAGATTATACACTGATGACCCCTCCCTCCCTAGGTTCATAACACTGTCATTAATTACAATCTGTTTCCTGCCTTCATTGATGTACAGCGCATATATTGCTGATGCAATACGGAGTCACATGACCTCAATGTTTTGATCGTATTGAACTAGGTTGTGTTGATAAACAAAGCTGGTTAAAGCCAGTGTATGAATCACGGTGGCTGCTTTACTTGCATACTTCTAACAGATGTTCTTGCATATATTAGACAATTATGAACCAGCCTCCAGACACCAAGTTATTTCATGCATTATATATAAATATATCATTTCATATAGTCTATCATATCTAGAACCATATTACCAGCAAATTAGTCTGGAGTGCTTTGTCACTCAACTGAGTAAATCAAACATATGGACATTTTGGATGTGTTTATTCTGTCTGTTTTTCTTTCACCCATTTCAATACAACCCAATTAGCATTAAAATAGTCAAGTACTGGTACTTTAGGACCACACAGTTACTCTTACGGTCAAATAGCCAGATGGAATTTGTCAATTCAAGCCATATAGTCAGTGAATAAACATAAAGGAAATTATACAATGCAAGATGACATATAAATATTTGAAAAAGACCATATTGTCTCAAAGATGTAGAAAGAATGTGTAATAGTAATTTCAATTTTGCAATCAATGGGACAAAACTGTAGCCCAACCCTAAACATTAAATAGGTGTAAGTCATGAATGGAAGGCGGAAACAACACAGCCAAAAGGTGAGAGATAATAGGCCCATATCAATCTAGCTGATCTCAGTAGGTCAGACGGTGTAAGGAGACTTCAAAGACTGTCTGGATAGCCCCTTGCGTGTATGCCTCAGATTAGGTTTGTTGTGCTCCTGTGTGCTACAATAGGTGTTCTTGTAAATTTGCTCCATTTGTTGACAGACAAAACATAACAACCAGGGAGAGGTCCAAAAGATTAATTTGACAATATATGAATGCGACATCAACAAGAGGCAGAAATTCTTCCTTATCAAATGCATAAGCTTCAGCCAAATTAAAAAACAGTCATTTCAGTATGGTATTCATGTGGCAATAGAACATAAAATTATTACAAGAAGGGTGCATTTCAGGTTGCATCCACCCATTCAAATGGTTATCAAAATGTAAACTAATTTGGACCTCTTACAATCACTTCACATTGAGATAACGATTATACTTAAAACCCTAAGCAATCGCTCATATCAATAAAATACTATCCGTTTACTCTAGCTACAGTAGCCCTCTTGTGATAGCGAAGACAAGTTTTACAGACAATTTACACATACGACCAAAAACATTAAACCATGAGGAAAAATCCAGTCCATTTTATCACCCCTAGACTCAAATTGGATAAATCAAACTTAGCATTGAGGAATGGGGGAAGCTAATCTATGTTAACTAATTGCTTCACAAACAAACAAACAAACAAATAATAATAATTAATTTTAAAAAAAAGCCAAAATCTGTAAAAAATTGCCAGTGTTTTTTGCAATGCAGTAAACTGTTTTAGTGTATGTAATTCTTGGTTGTGTGATAACAATGTCAAGTTATAATCAAAGGTACGTATATCTTTTTTCCTTCTTTTTTCTATACTGATATATGTAACCTTTAAAATGGTTTCAGTCTGTAGAAATATTCAGCTGCTGCTGTCACATAACAAAAACGTCTTCAAATACCTGCCCAGCCCACACATGTGGAATGAGACTTAAGCACAACGTTTATATAAACAACATACAAACCCAACCAGTATTTGCTTTTTACCTATCCTTAATTTGATAAAAGATCTCCAATTCTAGTTCAACATGAATATACTTTTCAATATTTTACCAATGTCATCATAGGTAAGTATCTATAAAGGGAATAATGAGGATATACTGCAGAAAAGTACACAATTTCATAACTTACCACTGAAATCAAATTACATCTAACAGCCTCAGATGTTCAAATGAATCGTTCCATTTCAAAGACATTTTCAGAAAATGTCTTTGTAAAAAATCTTCATTTAAGCATAATTACAAAATTATAGTTTTAAAATTTACTATACTCGTTGATTTCTACCAGGAAAAATTCACGTGTAGATCGCTCTTCATAGATATATAAAATAGTCCTTCAGCAAAAACATAGCGTCATACATGATGTAGTACGAAACGTTTAAAAATCAATAATCACCAATTAGCCTATGGTTCCGACATGTTTAGGACAAGTTTCCATTGGAATATATAAGAAATGTGGAAGTATATCTTTGTTGAAAAACTTGATCAACATGTAAAATCGAGCGACCCTGCTTTGGGTGGGACCCATTTCCCCTCCCGCCACCAGCAAGGTAAAGCACATGGTCGTGGACTGCTTTGTTTATACTCAATATGCACTCGTTTTACCCCTCAATTGTGTCCACTCAACACGCTAATACACAAAATGACATCATGTCACCCAAGAAACTGATACTTTTTAGAAGTTATTTCGATAAAAATAAGTTAGTCAAATTATCTTCCTAGAATACTTGACGACATATGTGAAGCAGTACTTAAGAAAGGGAAAACACAGCGTAGTATCCAGCCATCGCCACGAAACGATCATGCCGCGCTGGGCTGATCAGTAAACATTAGCATTCATCAATGAAATTCAGAGACACTTACCAAGAGATTCGCACTGGAATCTTGCGCGGGTATTCGGTCTCCCATTCTGCCTGGGAAATGTGTTACAGTCCACCGTTTCTAATATATTTACAATATTTTCAGTATGTCTCAGATGTGTGTGAAAACTACGAGTCGCCCAATCGTAGCCTCGCTCTCAACTCATTCACGGACTGGTATGTAAAAAAATGGGATTCGCGCCAAAAATTATAACTGTACTTTATCAGAAATATGCAATATTTACCAGAAATTAATTAATTGGATGCACTAAAACTATACAAACAACATTTTTATTTCACCTTTATGATTTATATTATTAAAACTATGTGCAATAACAGAAATATTGATAACATTTTATCAGCTCAAGGGTATTAATTACGTTAACGTGGCAACTTTCCCTTTTACGGAGAGCGCACCATGTGGTTTTGTTTTGATTAATCGATCCAGGAATATTGCAATGATTTGCTCTACTTTTCACCGAAAATAACAGCCAAATGTGGTAGCAAATTTTGAAACAGAAAAAATAATGACACCGTATTGTATAAATTGCGTAAGTCCAGGATAAAAACAATATAGATCATACCAAGAGTCAGCGTACAGAACGTCTGTAACTCATTAGACTAATCGTTTCATCGAGTATATTTGTATAGCGTTAGATCTACATGCATGTCGGTGCAATTACCCCAGTATTATATAACCCGTGTATGCATTAGTTTTTTCAGCCCGATGATCAGTCAAACTATATCACTTGTCTGGAATTTTATCGATATTAAGGTGAAATCTGTCGATAGTGGAAATTAATCTAAAATCTAAAACAAAAACTAAAGTTTCTACCAATCCAAAAATGATGCACACTTTGCTATATACACGTGATGGCTCTGTAAATGTGCTGGCGTGTGTATATATGTGTCGCAGATAACAATTAGGATCAATTAGGTTTGAGCGTTATTTTTTTATATGTGTAATAATAATAACACAGTGGTAAATTGATGCGATACATCGTTTACAAACTTGTTTGACAGGTGCTCTGCCTCTCAACGCCATGCATTCTTTTATAAACAGTTCGACCTGTGAGGATTTGTTACATATGCCAATTGATTATATCCGATTCCGATTAAATGAAAAATTTTATTTAAAAAATCAAACTCGCCTCGGTTACAAGCACTGGGTGTTTAAAGGAGCTTGGATTTTATAAAAATTGCTGCATTTAGAAAAGAAGTTATCATACTACCAAGATCGATCTATCTCAGCGGAGATTCTCACTACTTAAGGTGTAGTCAATGTAATCAACTTAACTGCATGGAAAGCCCCCTCGCAAAGTAGCATGAACAGCGTCATGGACTACAATCTTTTCCCGACTTTACCCAAGTACTTTAAGATACGAGGGGGCGTGCCCGACAATTAAGTTGATTACATTGACTGCCCCTTAGGCTAACAAGAATCCCCGCTGAGATAGATCGACCCTGCTAGTACGATAACTTCTATTCTAAACACACCCTATGCCGTCAAACGAACTCAAGGCTATGAGAGTTAAAATAAATTTCTTCATCAGCCAGTAGTGGGTGTGGGAAAAAGAACTATGATCGCGTGGAGCCCTTGTATTAGTTTGCAAGTCTGTGCGTATGTAGGCCCGTGATTGTCTTTAGTCAGTGGGATAAGGAAACAAACGTTTACCAACACCAATGTTTTTAGGATGCACACTTTCTTTCACCAATAAGTTACTTGAAGACTTCACATTGTAGTGATAAATTAAGATGTACGTTACTTTTTAGTATGCGGTCCTTGCGCAATTTTAAATGAATCGTCTTTCAATCTATGGAGCAATGTCCACTTCATTTAGCTGGTTCTTCTTCTCAGCAGTGTTTCAGGTACACAGTCTGAGCATTTTTATACCGTAATATTATACGGAGAGAAAATAAAATGTAAGAATGCAAAAGTGTCCACGTTAATTGCACGGGTTAGTTTGATGATACAACCAAGCACGTCTTATTGATGACATCTCAAAGAAAATTGAATAGAAAGGCATCTGGCTATTTATCAAATGCCCAAGGTCCTTCACGAGTTAAAGCTAGGTCAACAGTGTGGTTTTTCTTACTCATGTTTTCGAAAAATAGTGGTAAGTGTTATATAAGAAAATGATGGCAGATCTTCTTTCTTCTTATGCTCAAAATGTGCATCGACGTGGGTGCTACCATCAGTGAAAGAAAAAAGTTTAAAAGGAATGTTGTTTACTTCCCTTTGGACACGTATTTTAGATAACCTTGATGTCAATTATCATTTTCTTGTTTTACGACAATCGTTGATCTAAAAAGAAATAGATATTGTCACGAAGCCTGTCCATATCTACCACTAACATTTAGAAAGAGATGAATGAGTATGTCTGCAGAATCCTTTGATATTCATTTCAATTGTCTGTATGTGGGACGTGAGGAAGTAAACAGGTCGACCGAATTTTTGATGTCTGTTCTTCGTTCATGTATTCTCTCTCTTTCTTTGTTTATACTATACAAAACAAAAATCCTGTTATTGGGAGGGGGAGGGCATTTCTGAGTTTTGAGAGGGTATGTAAGAGCAAACACGTTTAAGGGCGTGAGATCGTTGGGAAAGCCCCTAAATCAAGAGTAAACCTCAATAATGACCGAAGTTCTGTTTGCTGGACGTCTTTTGGGATAGAATTTCGTCTCGTCTCTGTCTGTTTTTGATCATGCTTTCACAACGCTTTCCGTGAGCAAGACACAAAGAAGCTCACTTGAAAATGGGCCTTTTATTGAAATATGTTTAAAAATTACAAATATAATTATCTATACCCAAAGACGAATAAAAATCTATTTGCAAAGACGCATTAACGTTTTTATGACTATTTCTGAGTTTGTGTACTTTACATTCCAAAGCGTTCTCGTTCGAGCTCTGATAATTTTGTCTGAATGACCACGAAATAGGGACCATTCCCAGACCTTATCGTACTAATTGTGGATCAATCTATCTCCAAGGGGATTCTCGCTAAAGTCCAATCAACTTAAGCGGCTTATAGATTCTGTCCCGCCTACTGAAGCTGCTAGGGGTAATTATTTATTGTTTAGCAGCTTCAGTAGGCGTACCAGACATCTTTAAGCCTCTTAAGCTAAAAACAATTTTGCGCGACACCCTTTGGAGATGGATCGATCCTGTTTGATCGATCTAGGTATGGGAACCCAGTCATAGTTTTAATATGTAAATTTCTTTGACGTCATCACGGTATCAAATGAGCTGTTGCACCACCCAATATGTAACGTCGAGTGGCATCGTGGACCATTCAGGTGTATGTCATAGTGTCACGTTTGGATTTGTTAATTCTTTAAAGGGTGGCGAAACGGGTGTCAATGTGTCTTTGATGAATTTGCGACTTCAATAGATGTAACATAAAGAGGTTCAGAACCGAGCTACTTAAAGCTGCAGTGACGCACAGATTTGTCCAAAGGGTGCAGTTAGGTCTCAAATATGACGTCAACTTCTATACATTTATCTTTTTAGTGCCACATGGGGCTGCACTTTTGAATACTTCCCAATAAAAAAATGAACAATTGGAAATCTTTTAGTTTATTTTATCATCGCTTCGGACCGTACATAAAGGCCCTATTTATACCGATTTTGAAAAACACGCCAGTAAAATAAGGAGAGACCACGTGTTGTTGGAACAGTTTTACCAAATTAAATGAGATATTTTAATCAATGCATTATAAGAGCAACCGTTTCATGAAAATCTATCCACAAGTCATCATGCTTTTTAAACAGGTAACCCTATCCGGATATCCTTATTATCAGAATGGTGTACATTTGTGGGTTTCAACACAATGCTCCGGTTCTCAGCAAACACATTCAAATACTGTGACGTCAAACGGTGGTCACATGACCTCCACTTCCTACACTATATTTCAAAATGGCGGCCCAAGAAGTGGCACCTAGACCGAATGCAGAAATAGTCAGGGGCCAAATCTTCGAAGTTGGACCACGCTACTCAAACTTGCAATATATCGGAGAAGGTGCTTATGGAATGGTTGTGTAAGTGTATATTTAAGATCAAGTATGCATGGTCAATTTGAATGGGAATTGGGTGACATGGCGAAGCTCGGATTTGCACTTGTCCTCATTTCTGTCTCTGCGTCAGTGCATGCTGTATTTGTTGATTGTTTATATTTCACAGAATATAAGTTGTCAGTCAACAACAGACTAGTTTCATTTTTAACCAAGCGTTGTCAAAAATCGATGTCCATGGGCATGACATGTCTAGTTTAACTAAGTGTGATGAATCATATGATGCTAATAGACTAAACCATGTAATTATTATCTACATCATCCAGATGTCATGAAATTTAAAATAACTGAATGCTTAGGTTTACTTCTTTGGTTCTTAGTTGCCAGTAATTTGGAGCTTTGAACAGTGATGTATGGGTACTGACATTCATAGTTATATACCTGATGTGAATACAACACAATGTGCATTCATTAATCATTCATTGTATGCACTTCAATCATGGGCTTATTATTGGACCTTTTATTAATTTGTATACTCTTGTAGTGACATCAAATTCAGGACTTCTGAATTTCAGTCATTCCATGCCAGTTTCAACTACCTTGAGAAGGCTAAGTGTGATGGCATTTAGTTATGATAGTATTACATACTAGTATTACAAGTGGTTTAACCTCTAGTCATTTCATAACAGGATGAAACTGAATAAAATAGGCTTGTGTAATAAAGTTAACATTTGTAGCTGTTCAAGGTATTGATTTTTTTTTTTTTTTTTTTGAAAATAGAACTTACTTAGTAGATATCTGCATGCAGTAATATAATTTTAATATTTGATTAGCCAGTATTTTTAGTTACAGAAAAGGGTTGTGATTTTCGTTTTAAAGAAATTACATCCATTTATCAGATTCAGTTTGTAACAAAGGGTCACTGTATTGGAAATGAATTTCACCATTATCAATAAATATAAATTCATGCTCATTGAGAACTTTCAGGGAATGACTGTTATTTCATTGGGTGGGTGTTACAACTTTCTGTGAGCTGGAGGTTCTGTCACTAGACTGAATGTATTGTGACAGCAGTGTGTCGTATGCAGTGTGATGTCTGCCCTTATCTTAGTTCAGTGTGCTGTCATTCTTTATGATCTAGATTGCTTTATTGATGCCCTTTTGAAACCAATCATTGGCCTGATCTAGAACCAAAACCAAGTTCCAGTGGATGTTTCACTGGTGGCCTTCAAATGTTCCACATTATGCATTTACTAGTAGGGCACTTAAGCTCCTGTAGCCAACTTTGCAGGTGTCTTTTTATTTTTCTGACATAGTCTGCTAGATTGTCATTATATTGAATGTGGTACACAGTCCTATTTGGATCCAACTTCTGCACCTTATCTTTGGGTGCCACCAGCTGTTTTTCACTTTATTGGGCTTAGTATCTTGAAACAATTGCTATTTGTGACCATACACAAAAATTACTATCAGTTGCTTCATGTGATTTCTACCCCCTATTTTCTCAAGCCTTCATAACCAAACTCGGTATTGGTTTGAAAGTATACTTGACTCTGAACCCTTGAAAATTATTATGGGTTCTGAGATCCCTTAACAAATGGCACGGACTCCTATTTTTTAACTGAAGTCATTGATACCCTTCTCCATTGGGTCCGTTTATCAATCAAGATAGTCCAGTTCTGAATGTTTTTTTTTTTTTTTTTTTTTTTTTTGATTCACCTTGTTGGTGACCAGACCAATTGTCACAGGTTAACCCCATTTATTGCAAATAAAGTAAGGTAGAATTTCCACCTAGAAACACATTTTATGTTGCAAGTGAATAGATGACCAGATTGAATTAGATATTAATATTTTTATAGTAGATGTTATACCAGTTAGTGTATGCCTTGTCCCTATATAATTAGTTGAATTATTTTCTCCCATTTGCCAGCTATTACAAAACCTGGAAATAAAATATACTCGCTTTTGCCTGCAAAATTCTTGCCATAGATTTTTTTCCAGGAATTAAAATAAATTTGAGTCATATCTGTACAGAATGTGCATTTTGATTATTAGCAAGAGATAGAGTTACTTTGTTCAAGTTCTTTAATATATCTGTCCACTAGAGATTTTGAATTTTTTTCATTCAGCATTTATAAATGTCAAGCAGTATTTAAAAATGAGTTCTTCAATTCCAAATTCACTCAGTTCTGTGGTTGTGAATTCGGTTAAATTAGCACTGTGAATACAGTGTTGAATATTGTGGATATTGAATAAGATAACCAAAGGTACCTGTGAAAAAGAAAAAAAGTTATTCAATACATTACTGGTATTTGTTTAAAATCAGCTGCTGTAATTTTTCAAATTGGCTGACTTCTTTTGGCTTTCTCTGTGAACAGTTGTGCTTTATTTACTATTTAACATTTTATTTTTAGCTGGACTCTAATTTGTTTATGATTGATTATTTTTGGTGTTTAAGATAGCAATAAATGTTGTTTCAGATCTGCCCAGGATAACAGTACAAGTGCAAAGACAAAAGTAGCTATTAAGAAGATCTCACCGTTTGAACACCAAACCTACTGCCAGAGAACACTAAGAGAGATTAAAATCCTCACAAGGTTTAAGCATGAAAATGTAAGTATAACACTATAAATATGACAGCAAATGTATTTATAGATAATTGATTCTGCAAATTACGGACACCTGTAGGCAGGAGCATTACGAGGATGAATGTAAGTGGCCTAAATGTAATTCTTCTTGTTTCACACATGCGTCCTTTCACTTGGAAAACATTTGACTGTGTTATAAACTTTGGCATAAATGCTTTAAAATGATTGATTTTAGATCACAAAAAGGGTTTTTTTTTTCATGACATGATTAAAGTACTACTTATTTGAATCTGATTATACATGTTCTAAATTATTGAATTCTTTTTTTTGGGGGGTCTTAAAATGTCTGTTTCATACTCTCAAACTGGTCTGTATTGGTGTTAAAAGAGTTGCAGCTAGAATGACATTTACTGTTATGAATTTTCCATTAGAGAGGTATATAAATGATTGTGATCTATTCAACGTAAGTGTTAGCATGTAGTCTCCACATTAGTTTAATATTCCAGTAGAAATTGCATTTCCGTGTACATACATTATTGTCAATATTGAGTTAAAATTTGTTCAACAGTGCAGTTAGGTTGATTTTTGTTATGTTTTTTGTTTTGTTTTGTTTTGTCAAGGTTAGGGCTTGAATAGCACACCAGATAGAGGTTCAGTTTTATTTGAAGTTAAGAGGAATGATATCTGAACATTCCAAACCTGATTTTGACTTATATTTGATAACATGTACATTGCTTGGCCAGTTGTTTTCAAAATGATATTAACACTATTCGTGTAAACTCCGTCTAAGGTATTTTGCATTTCTTTAACACTGTTGGTTAAGAAGTTACAGAAATTTGACAACCAAATTTTGCATTTTGCTTTTGCATCCACCTGTCAAAAAATTATTTAAAAAAAAAAAAGAAAATAAAATTGTGAATATTGTTACTCTTGAATGTGGATAAGGAATGATATGTGAGAGCTCAGATTTGAGCCAAAAAGGAAAATTGGTATGTGTTTAAAAGTGCTATATCTTTAAATGTTTCACAACCAAAATATTGTAAAGTTCTGCATTAATATTTGGTAATTTTTGCAACCACTGCACGTTTGTGGTCCTACTTAACTGTCCTGATTTTGGGGTCATTAGTGCATATTTAAAAGTGAGTACTATTTAGTCATGCCCCACTCGGCTAAAAGCCCTTACATTTAAGAAATATATTTATCCCTCAAATCTTTCTTGTCATGCAAGTATGTTTAGAACTAAAAATGAATGGTATAATAATGTGTCACATTTTAAGACATCCACCCATTTGGTGGTGTGTGCTTGAGGGGCACCTGCCTCCTCTTTGAGCCTCGATCCTAGTTTCCTTTAGTGCACATCAAATATATATATCTGCATTGTGCTTATTGTTTTTGCAATAAAAAGGCTAAACTGTAAGGGAAAATGGTGGTAAATTGAAGAGACCCGAAAAGAAAACTGCAACAGGATGGTTGAAGAGAGTTCTGTTACAGAAGTTAGTTTATTGGTGCTTTGGGATCCATTAGTCAGAAATTATGTGTTATGTTGAAGTGGTGTCTCTCCTATGCTCCGTATTTACTCTGATGGTAAAAGCATATATTTGAAATAAATCTCCTCTACAGATCAATAACCAGATATGTGCTGTAGCTACAGTGTTTAGACTTTGTCTCAGGTTGTGTTCCTGTTGTTCAACCCAGGGATATTGGAATTACAGAAGAGATGTTTAAATATTTTAGTAACATGTCAACTGTTTAAATACCGTGAAGTCTTGCAAAATATTAAAATGAAAGTGCAGATAGACTACTGGATTGACCTGAGG